GCTAAATTCAATCCTATTCAGCTTTCTTAGCATCATACACATCAGCAATTCTCAATCTTTCTTGAGTCCTCACTGATTCTTTTGGAACAGACTCTTTCCTTCTCCTCACTGCAGCCCATTTCCATCCTCATATCCTATCTTCCAGATTTTGTTGCTCATTCCTCACTTTTCAAATCAAATCACCTCCCCCAGCTGTAGTAGCACTGGTATGTGGCCCAAGCTAGTAAACCTGTAACAGCTTATTAGCTTGGTATCCAGTCTACACCACCCTCATCTCACCTCTTTATGTTAGCATATCTCATTTCCTCAGTGGCTGAGAGCTGTCACACAAGAGGACGATAGCAATGACAGCAGAAAACGAAAAGCTTTTGTGTAGCATTCTTCCTTATCCAGAAAAAACATGCTTTCTTTTCTTGACCCCCTCACCTTCATTTTTCTTTCTAACATTGTCTGACTTCACACAAGAGAAACAGTGACAAGTGCAACTGTTTGATATGCTGGCTTCAGAATTCTCATATAGAAAAGGATAAAGTTTGCTATGCCAGTATCCAGAAATATAATAGGTGTCTAGCCACGTGTACATTTACTGTGTCAGTCTGCTGCAAATGCAAAAAGATAAATTTTTCTTTTTTTTTTTCTTTTTCTTTTTTTGATACAGGAATCACCCACTGAACTGGATGCTACCAAAATCAGCAGCTAATAAAGCAGCCATGCGTCTCTGAAAGGAAAGCCCTCTTCTGTGGCCTGGCACTCGCACCATCTGGCACGAGCTGTAACAAACAAGCACAGATCTCATCTTCTCTTTCACAGGATCCTATTTCAGGTTTACCAAATCAGTCTCTGAATGTGACATCCAATTATAACCTGATATATAAATGCAAGAGATCTTTCATTAAAATTTAACTATTGTATGATGAGATATCCTTCTTGTAGTAAGGAATTAGAGCTAGCCAAACAACACGAGGAGCTTTCTCCTGTTATTTATCCAAGGCACAAGCAACCAGCTGAGTTGCCTTCCACAGAATGTGCTGTAAACGTTGGTCTTAACCTCATTATGTTATCGCCATGCTGTGACATTGACCAGGCTTGTGCCATTTGCAATTGCCAGTAAAGTGACAGAAGCATTTTCCTCTCAGCTTCCTATCTCAGACAGTCTATAGTTTTATTCCTAAATGTACATTATCTCTGTTCTAATGCATAATTGCAGGGATAACAAACAGAAAGCCTCCATATCAGTTACAGCCTCTCATGCAGGCTAACTTTAATTTCCCTCCAACTAGCTCCAATTTTCCGGACTGCATCAAGAGAATACATAACTGCTCTTTGCACAGGGTCATGCATGAGCTTTCTTTACTTATAAATTTAAGCAAAACCTCAGCAGAGTTGATTAACACCAAAACGATGTTGCAGCTAATACAAATCCCCTCCATTTGTACAAGTTTAATAGTTTTCCAGTCAACACATTGTAGAAGTAAAAATCTACAAACTGCTGAAGCCAATTTCAAGCTTTTGTTATTACTACATGATATTGCTCTAGCAGATTTCTAAAAGCCAACAGCAAAAATAACTCTAGTAAGCATAAAAATACAGGATCTGGGTTTTATTATACATCTGTGCATCATGAAAATGAAAGTGCTGCCCAGTCCAAGCTAACACCCCTAGATTTGATATAAATGGTTTCATAATATATAGCAATTATTATAGGAAGTCATACCTCAAGAAACCAGTCAGTACATGTGTGATTTTTGTCCTAAATCAATGCATAATAGTTAACCACAATTCCTTGCTAAAAGAAAAAAATTACGTATTTAGCAGAAACTTCTGTATTTAATTTTAATGCTGATTACTATGGCATAGCATTGAATAAGGCTTGCAACTAAACACAAGGCTTATGAAAATGGAGACATGACCATATATTACTGGTTTCTGTACTCACAAATGAGTATGCTTCACTGGATCAATGTCTGATCACATCTGTGAAATTCACAGACATCATAATTCTGTATCAAAATATTATTTCATTACTGTATTTCTCCTCTTACAGAAAGGCAAGAAAACACTCAGTTCAGAATTCCTGTCTTCTCTCACTGCCCTCTATTCAGTTAGCTTATTAAAAATGATTGTTTGAATCTTTGTCTCAGACCTAAAACAAAATATTCATTGAAAAGTTATGATGAAACTTTAGAAGAGAAATATTTGGACCTAAAGGGAAAAGCAGCAGTTTACTGGGAAACCGTCACTTTCAGACTGTATAAAAGTTACTATCCATCATATGTTTCCTGTAGATGGTTCCTTTCTGTCTCAGAAAGTTATGGATGGCTCAGGAAACCAGGGAAGTGGAAATATCTGTGGTAGGTTTATCACTACAGCATTAAATTGCAAAATGGAAATGAAATTTCTCCTGGGCAACTAGGAACATTTTGTATAGTTTGATCAGCCTCACACTTCTGCACAGAACACACATCTGTGTGCACTATTAACCCACATGCAAGCATTGCAGACAGTCTCCATTCCTGTTTCAGATTATGGAGCTCTAGACTTCATGGCTACAGAATAAATCTGATTGCAAAATACATGCTCACAGGTCAAAAGAAAATAATGTCAAGCCATTATAACAAATTTACAAGAAGACATCACCAACTCCAACTTCTTTCTACTCTGTTCCTTATATTGTTTGGCTATTTGAGAGTAAGGTCTCAGACTTGTGCAGTTCATTCTATCTGGAATAGCTTTCCTTTAAATCTGAGTTTCATCTCATTCTGAAATACTGCTGGTGTTTTTTGACCCTTGTTTCACCCTCTTGCGTCCACATTCCCTCCCTGTTGGTGGTAACTACCTACAGTCCTGTGAAGAGTTCGAGAATGCCATGAAAAATATACACAAAAATTCTGGTTCCCAACAGAAGGAATTATCTGCCAAAATATAACAATCTGAGGGGAAAAAATACAAAAACAAACAAACAATCAGCAACAGCAACAACAATAAAAATACTAGCAAAAGAGAGTGCTGAACTGATTCCAACAAAACATGAAGTATAATTCAATGACTCAGAACAACCATGTCCTGTCATCCACACCTTTTTGAGATCACAGGACCAAAGTCTACCGAGCAGTCAGAGCTCTAGGATTTACCCTATAACACAGAACAGAGTCTTGATTCCACCAACGCAAACCCCTCCTAGGCCAGTGGATATTAAGTACTCCATTTTCCATTTTTCATTACTTTTTTTCATTGAGGCCCAAAGAATAAATTCCTCGGTTTACTTTATCCCTTTGCTTTTCTGAAACATCTTGTTAGAGCAATTAACTGTGCTGCCTCATCCTCAAGGCAGTAACACTTCCAGAATCTCCTGAGCCTATAATCATTTGGTTGCTTTCTCTGGCTTTTGTTTTAAATCCTACTCACAACTAACAAGGGTATTTTGATGGATTGAACAAGTGAGGTAAAAAATGCCTCAGAAAACAAACTCAGAAAGCAACACAGCTCACAAATTGCATGCATTTTCTAAGAACAGAGCAGTTTCAGTATACCTCATTCAATTATGAGGTTGTTTGAACCCGGTATTAGCCAGAGATCTCATCACTTAAATAAGGAAATACCCACACCTAATTAAGCTCAAGACAAATTAGACATCCTCTGACCTTAACTCTGCTTAATTTTTCTCTTGAAACCTTGCAAGTCAGAACAAGCAATAAACAACATGCTGCCTTTTATAGCCAGAGGAATAATTGAATATGCGATTTTATTAAAATGTACCAATTTCTGAAAGGTGCCACACTGAGATGTTCTAACTGTACACACTGTGGTTCATCACTGTTCAACACTGTATCAGGCTTAGCATAGAGATGGAAGCAAACAAGAAACATCAAACCACAAATTTCCCCAACCCAGACTGTACTTGAAATTAACTGTAAAAATAGAGAATAGTTAAAAAGTTAACAATCTCTTTTCTCCTCCTGCTTCTGTTTTTAAACTTCTCTACAGAGTTAGTATGGAAAAGCACTGCACATAGACTCATTTAAAATAATAATAATTTGTTCCAGAAAAGTCCTGAAGTTTGCAATTTATTTTACACAACTTCAAGAGATATTTAATCAAATGGCTTATATCCAGAGTACAGCATGGATCATTTTAATTACAGTGTCTGTCAGCCACACTAACTATCCCTACTTTGGAAAAATGGCCCTTATTTTCCTCTTCTGCTTCAAAATTCTTATGTCTCAGTAAATTTTAACCAAGAAATAACATCCAGCTCTTAAACTTTGGGAGTAAGTTTTCATTCTGATCCAGCCACACAAGTAGGAGATTTGTTCACATATTTGGGAGGAAAAAAAATGTTTTTCTGCTAATTCAGTGAATCGCCTTCCAGAACTGTTTTGCATCGTCCCCTTACCAAACAGAATTCTTCACTATGACTTCATTCTAAGCCAAAAGTAAACACTCTCCTTTCTCTACCCTAAATTACCAGCATTATCATCAGCAGTGGCATAGGAACAGCTGTATTCCCCCCACAAGAAGGAAAAGAAAAAAACCATACTGTTCAACAAAACACGTATCTCGGTGTGAAATGCACGCATTAATGCACTTCCCAGAAATTAGTCATCTAGCTGTGCTTCCAGGCATCACCTGGCAGTAGGACTGCCTCAACTTCACAATAGCACTTTGAAAGGCAAAAACACCATATAATCCTCAGTTAAAGGATTTTGTCCGCAAACACCTGCAGTTTAAACTTACCAAGCATTTTTGCAGCATGCAGAAATTTGCTAGCCAAAACATCACAAATCCAGCACCCGCACGGTTTTCAGAACAATCCTAAAGCCAGCTCAATTGAAACAGGTGCTCACATGAATAGAGAAGACTTAGCACTCAAAACCAATTTTTACCTTATTATGCTTTCATCTCTGGTGGATATATTTATGCTCTCTAACTTCAGCAGTCTCTCTGGAGACTTCTAAAAAGGACTTTCAAAGGAATAAGATTAGATACCATCAAGGACTTACCAGATTGGAATTGGTGGCATTGGAATCATCTTCTGGAAAGGGGATATAGATAGCTAAGGCCACACAATTGGCAAAAATAGTCAGTAAAATAATTATTTCAAATGGTCTGAGGAATGGAGTTAAGGAAATTGTTCTGAAATGCGCGCACACAAATAATAATTATAAAAAAAAAAAAAAAAAAAAGTAAAAGATTTATAAGAATTCTGTTTAAAGAAAACATTCCAAGCTCCTTATATTCTGAAAAGAAACATATGCCTTTTTAAGTGCTTTTAGTTGCTCCCGGCCAAAAATCTTCCTAATATGTCAAAAGCAGTGTAGGCCAGTCGCGTGCCAGTGTAAACACAGATTTCTTAAAAGTTTTTCTTCTTTTATTTATTTAGATAGCATTTTCCCTATTTTCCTTCAAGTGTGGCTGTACTGTTTTTAATAACAAAAGCCTGTTCTGAAAGGCCTGTCATCTTTCCTCCCACAGTTACTTTATGTTTCTTACTCTTTTCCATCCTCCTTTATATTTTTTTCCCAATCTCTCCCATATCTCAGAGTTAAATGCAAGGGCCCAATACATGTGTACATTCAGGTAGAAAACATTTAAATGATACAATTTATGGGGAAAAAAAGCTTTATCCAAATTGAACTTATATTGTTTATAGCCCTATTATCACTATTTTCTTTTAAATTATTTAATATAGTATTCCTTTTTCTTGTATTTGTATTTCAGCTGGCTTCATAGGCAAAAGAAATGTGTATGTGAGAAATGGTAGGGACACCAGGAAAATAAGAGACCCTAATGACAGAAACTACCACCAATTCAAGGCATTACAGCCTGTCATCAATGCCCTCAAAACAAAAACAGAGCAAAAAAAAACAGATTGGATGTTCAATGAACCAACCTTGCACAACCTCTGGCGTTCCACCGATACTCAGCGGAAACCTAAGAGCTGTTTTCTACTGACTTCAATTTGCTGGCAGTGTATTTCTTTTTTATTTTTTTTTTCTGTAGACTTCTTAACCTTAGTAGCTGTGAAGTGTCTCCTGTTAGACCAGAGACCAGATTTACAGCCTGTCTATATTTACTTTCCTGCAAGATCTCCCTGGCAGATAGCTCTGGGATAACTCAGCAGTGCTCTGGAGGGGAATGAAAAGCAGAAAAGGACCAGAGAATGCAAGGTATAACCTGTGCCACAGAGTGCATTTGAGTGTAAGTTTATCTACCGTGGGATTGGCTTTGCAGAGTTGCCAGATGTCAACACGGTGTGTATGCTTTTGGTCAGCAAACCACCATTCTCAGCAGGTTTTAGCAAAAATAAACTAGAGATCAGGATCTCCAACTGCCTGAACTGCAAGAAATAGACAATCTCAGGCAACTGACTTCTGTATATGTTCATATACGTTCCGTATTTCACATGTAGATGAGTCAAAGGGTTCCAAACCCACTGGGCTATCTGCTGAAGCCTATGAATACTAAGAGGTGCATGCTAACATGGAGGAAGAAGACAGGTGGGGTCCTTTCTAAAAGGAGTCAGCTGTCATTGCAACAACTAAGGCTTGACATAAAAGTGCAAGGATAACATGACTAGCAGACATTCAGACCTAGAAACTTCAGGGCACACTTCAGAGTTTTGCAGATCAGGGTAGATACATTACTGATGAAAGCACTGGATTTCTCAGATACCTCCAGCTGCACACACAGCGTTCATTGCATAAAGACTTACACATCCATAGGCTTTCTTTTTCTTAACTGCCTTTTGCCTAGAATTGTTTTCCTTAGAGACATTTTGTTCATAAACTTATCATTACTGATGTATTTTTTTATTTTTACTTTTTTATTTTTACTTCTTTAAGCATTGCAAAAGTAAAATGGTTTAAAATCTAAAAATACACTGCAAATTCAGCAGAATAATAAGCAGGTAAATCTTTGCAAAATAAGGAAATTACTTCATTTCACTTTTTCTTCTATACAGCTGCGCTTTCAGGCTCCTAATACTACAATGTTTGAATATGAAATACCATAGAAGTGCCATTTGATATTTAATATGCACTGCATTTAGATTTCAGAGGTTCAAAAAATTAAGCTAAGGTCTTCTCAGTAATTTTCAGCAATTAGGAAAAGTCAGTATACAGTTAAAAAAATAAATCTTATCACAGCCCTTTGATATTGTTATTTGTCCTTGAAGTGTTTCATCTTTATAAGCACTATATATCCAATGAGAGGTTCTGAGGAAGAAGTTATTTTCACAAACTCACCTAAAACCAAACAAATACCAAAAAAATGCAAGTGTCAGCATCTTTGGATTGCTTTAATCACATTGTTTGGTCCTCCTCTTGATCTCAGCAGTGCTGTATCCTGTTTTACAACACATCATTCCCATCATTCATTGCTGATCTTATTCATTTATCAAATGTCACTATATGCTCTTTCTCTATAGATGTGCTTACTGGAGTGCTGGCAAGTAAACCAATATTCAGCTTCATCCTGTTAGTCATCATCCATCATTTTATGCTCAAAGTATCGCACCTATGCCAGAAGGGATAACTAGTAGCAAACCTTAATCAAAGGGATTAAAAATTAGCATCTGAAGAAAGGAATAGGCAGGCAGAAACTTTAAGGATATCTAACAATTGACAACAATGCTTTTAGCAAGTTGCTCTTCTGAAAATGATATCCTAATATGCTCATATTATGTTTTTATCTGTTCAATGTCGCACTAGACATTGGGGACAAATGTCAAAGGGACAGAATTATCTCATTGTCTTAAATGGCTTTTTTTTTTCTTTAATCATATTAACTACTGCTGAGTTCAGTATTGCCTTCCCCTGACGTGCTTATTTACCCCTAACGTACTTTTGCTTTCACATTTATTGAAGAATCCCATTAGCTTGTGATTTACTGACTATTACTGTTCAGAGTCAGTCTTGGTTTCTCTTCAGGGAAACAGGGGAGTTATATTTCTATTTCCATTTCTATTTCACACCAAATTCACAACTTCCAGTTTTGTTGATCAGATTCAGATGACTAAGGTAGACTTTGCTCCTTCCACATGAAGGAGCCAACAGCCAAGCTCTCATTGGCTTTCCAAGAAAGCAGCACTGACCCTTGCCTTCTGCAGCTCTATGTCAGTGGTAATCGTTTATCATCTGTGACAATCTGTCTCTTGTTCAGCCTGCTAGCTCTGGCCCCATACTGAATGTGCACATGTGGCAGGATGATGTTAACTATCTGTCTTTTTCCCTACTTGGAGATAATCAGTTTATCTTTCCATATATTAGGGAGTCTTACTGGTTTCAATTGAATCCCAATATGATTAACAGAGCTTAGCCTCATTTCAGGGATTTATCACATCAGGGTTTTTTTTTTTCATTAGTTCTCTATTCAACCCCATTTTTCCCCATTCCATTCTCCATACTGTAGAAATGGTGATGCTGTGTATTCAACGAAAAATCACATGATTCCAAGTTCCAGAGCTGTTTATGTGGCTAAAGCTCTGCAGAAAGAAGGGAAAGGCAGTATCTGCCATCAGTCCCATGGAGTGGTTCAATTCTGGCTTCAGATACCTTGCATATCTCCCATCAATTTCAGCTTCAGCCACGTTTTTAAAAGAATTCAATCCCTACCCTTTATCGTTTAAGCTTCTGGCAGTTTCCTACACAAGGGTACGGTTAAGGCTTCAGTCCCAAGCATTTTTTCTCCCAGCATAAATGATCTCAGTTAAGATAGCAAATACTGCTTGTGTACTTCATGTTCCCAATGGCGCCTTTCAACTTAATGTATTGATTTCTTCCCACTTATGAACAGCGCCTGATGCACACTAACAATTTGCTGTTTTCCAAATGAGAACATCAAAAAGGATATTTCCATTCGACGATGCTGATGCATGCCCTCCGGATGGGATTTTTCAGTGTTAAACACAGCAGTGCCCGGGGAGGACGCGTAGCTGTCGTGGTACCCTGTTTTTTCTGTTTCCCATACTGCTGCCGTTTTCTCTGCGTGGAGCTAGCTGTGGATATTGTTGCATTGCCAGCACTACCCATCAATTTGGCTTGCCTGGCAGCATCAATTGCAGCTTGCCAGGACAGAGCTGCCCCTGGTGTAGGGATATGCTCTGGGGCAAGCCCTGCAGCTGCATTGGCATTCATGTTGGCATGAGCTGGACGGGGACTCCCATAGTTGGAACCTGTGAAAGGAGAGGGAAAAAAAAAATTGTGAAGGTATTTCTTTAACAGTAGAAAAGATAAAGCTTTTTTTTCTTATAATCATGTGTATCAGTAAAATGAAAATCTGAGGTTAAGGATAAGTGTAGGGTATCCACTTAGTGGGAGCTTGTTCCTGCAATTCAAGCCCTCATTTCAAAATAATACCACTGTGCAATCATTCATCTTGCAAGAGCCTCCTAAGAAGCCCAAAGGACACAGATGTGAGGAGTGTCTCAATCAATTCAATCTCCAGAAATTCCACAGAGAAGAATGTGTCCTTCGTTTCATTTTTTACCCACACATTTTGCAAGTTAGATTGTTTGAAAGCTTAAAAGGTAAGGCTAGCTCTCACTGCTATCACACAGGCATGCAGCACTATGTTATGTGGTATCTGGCAAAGAAACAAAACAATACTCTCAAGTTTATAGTGAAAACCCTTCTGTTTTCAAGATCACTTCAAGGTAAAGGGAAATTTCAACAAGGAGTTATATTCTCTCTGCAAACATTGCCCACATATAAGTCTAAAGCAGACTGAATAAAAGGGACGCTGAAGCAGCAGCTGCAGAAAAGGGCAGAGTTCATCACTTCTATGCCCTAAATGATGCTGTGTATACAGTCAACTTTAGACCAGACAACATACAGTTTGAAATTGGAACCAATTCTTCATCCTGAAAAACTAACTTAAGAAAGCTCAATGATTGAACTGTACTGGCAGGAAAGCCAAGATCAGGTAGTTCCATGTTTAGCACCTCTTTTAGCTGACACTGAAGGAGCGTATGCTTTCTCAATCATAATAACAGAATAAATATGTCAGGCAATATGTCTGGTATTTGGAAGGTCTTAACAGTAATTTAAGGTTACCTTCGCAAGCCAGCCCAACTGTTCAGTCATTTCTCTAAAGACAGTTATGAAGCCACTTGTGCCTCTCCAATGAGGACATTTCCCTTGGGGGACTGTGGTTCCCTTGCTTTTGAACTGAAGAGACTATGCTTCAGAAAAATGCACATGGAAAAGTTGGGTAGTAGAAAGCCAGTAATGGAGTTAGATCACCTCTTATTTCAAAGCAAGCACGAAGTCTACCTATTGACTGTGTTTCACTTCTTTAGTTTAATGCAGAAGTATGGTGTTTTTAAACAGATCAGATGTGATCCTGTAGTTCACAGGACAAAACAAACAGAAGACCATGTGCCACCTGTTTTGCTGAAAGTACTGGATGAAAGACAAGCAAAATCAGGAGAACAAGCAAACTGCTTCAAGGTTTTGAAATAAAATAATTACCTCAGGCCCATATTTTATTGCCATTGTGCAATGCCAAGAAATTGCAGCCATAACAGCATTACATGAATTAGATCAAGTAGAATAAATACAATTACATTGGCACCTAGATTGCTACAGGGTATGCTCCTATCCAGAAAGCATGCAAAATATTAAAGTTCATCTCACTGAATTGCAAGGAAGGACATGATAGAGTCAGATGTTATTTTATGTCAGGTATTGCCATGAGATTTCCAGGCTGTCATTGTTTCACCACACAGAAAATCTAGAGCTTGTCTCTGTCACTGGAAAATGTCCGAGCTGCAAAACCAGCCAAAGAGAGCTGGTGACTAATATAACTCTGATAAGCAAAAGGGAAAGCTGAAAGAAGCAAGCAATGAGAAATAGTTAACTTACATCCCTCAGATTTTGAAACTGAAGAAAAATTGTATTCAGAATCACACAGACTAAGCAGATTTCCTAGATGAAGCAGGCAATGAAGTGGCAGACAAACTTAGTTCTCTAAGACTAAGCAAATTGTACACAGCACTACTCATGGGATACGTATTTATTTTCAGACTGGTTCCAGATGCACATTTTCTCCTTAGCATCCATTTGACCTCCCTAGCCTGAAGCAGGCTGGGGAGAAACATAAATGGAAAATTACTCTAATTATTCACCCAACTCCAGCTCTTCTTTAATATCGACCCATTAGAGCGGATAAGAAAATGTGTGTATCTTCCAGTAACAGCAAACTTGCTGATCCCATCGCCACTGTGTTCTTATCACGCTGACTAGACCATGTGGTCCAGAACACAAACAGCTGCTCTATTTTAATGAAGACTTTTTTGCAATTTGGGAATGTGTTAAGTTTCTCCATTATTATTGCTTATTAGTTAGGTTTCACATGAGGACTCAGGTTTCTGCACTCCGACTTTGATGTGCCAGCAAAGTTAAGGACGTGGCTTCTGGTGGCTTTGTTACTTTTGCTTCTACCCGTAACAAAGTGCTTTATCTCAAATTAACTTCAAAAGATGAGCCAGTAATGACAGATTTATATTAACAAATATTGCAAATATTGATTACTGATAAAGATCTGTCTGCTTTATGAAGCTCAGAAGCTACTGACTGTCTTTACTAAATAACTAATGGCAGTGACAAATGCCTTGATCTACAGGCTGTTTAGAGAAATAGTTTAAATTAAAAAGAGTGGCGCTCACATAACTCCACATAAAGCATACTGAGGAACTGTGCAAAATATTTTCAAGGACAGCATAGCCAAACTTGCAATGAGAAAACAGTGCAAAACATTTCTGTAATCTGAGAGCTGCAGTTACTGGAATTGCTATTTTCATTTTGCAACATTTCAGTTTAAATCCTTCATTCTACTTCTCCACTACAAATAAAGTTTCACTGTACCTAAACCACTTCTACCATATTTGTTTATACAGTTACAAAGCTGGAAGTTGGCAAGAAATGGGAACCAGAGATTCAGTTCCCATCCAAATGGAATAACTCACTAAGTACCGGGATCTGCAACATCAGCACCGCGCTAATCCCTCCCACCCTTCAGCAAGATGTGCTGTTGACTACACCACGCAGGTCAGCAAAACTCTTCTCTCTCACGTACTTTTGTTACAGATCATGAATTTAAATATTTGCATGGTAAGTAAATGGGAAAGTCAGTATGTGAATGTAACGAATAAATTTGATTCTGAGATCTTAGGGATCAACTTTCATTTCTGCAAGGAAGCAAAACTGGAGAACCATTTCAAATGTCACAGTAACAGAAGTATGGCTTCAGAACTAAGACAGAAAAGTAACATACTAAGTTGCTGTACTGCGGGAAATGAACCATGTTGCAAAAAATACCTGACACTATAAGCTTACAACTACGTTGCCAAAATGCTATAAAGGCATCAATGGTCATCAGTATGTAAGAGCTTTTTGCATTCTAATAATGTACATCTGTCAAGCCCCCTATTAATAGATAGCTTCATTTAAAGAAAAAAAAATTTAAGCAGCAATCATTCTGTGTGAGAAATGATCCAGTTAATGACATGATGAAATTGCAAGTTTTAAATGCCCTGCATTTATCTATTTAGCCTCACATTTATTTGAGAGGAACTTGTGCTTAGATTAATTATTTAAAAGAAAATGGAGCAATGCCAATGTAGGTCTTCAATGTAGGTTCTTTTTTTTTTTTTTTTCCTCTAATCACTAGGAACATCAGAATCCTAAGAATGAAAACCTCAGAACAATGGTGTTGCACAAGTGCATTTTTCCCCAAAGCAGATGAGTACAGTAAAAGATAAAATTGGTTCAGTCAGAGTCTTAGCTGAACAATGACAGCAAGTAAACACAAAGTAGGAAACTGGTTATCACTACTAAGATTGTATGTAGACTAATTCAAGCGTGCAGAGAAAAAGTTAGAAGACACGGAGGTGAGGAGGAACCTAACAAGAAAACCGAACAACGAAAAGAATGTCATCATTTGTTAATATACAAAGAAAGTGGAAAACACTGACCCATTAACCAACAGAGACAGAATACACAAGATGTCAATAGGGCTTAAGGATTACCTTCACTAAAGAAAGGAAACAAAGGAAGATCAAGAGCAGGTGACAATCAAAATGAACCCACAAACCAAAAAAGGTATAATTTCCACTCATAAAGGAAAAGAAAGGATAAGTTTAGAGAGTACTTAGGTAAGTACAAACATACATTCAGCTATTGCATTCTAAAACATTTAAGGAAGTCTCTGAAGTAATCTCAAAGCTGCTAACTGCTGTTCTGAACTCAAAGGACACGAGAAATCTGAGAACTGAGAAAGGACAAATGTCAACCTCATTTATAAAAAATCAAGAAGTGAAAATTTAAATTCAGCTGTGCTTCAGTCTCCATTAGTAAATAAATAATAACACAGGATACATAAAACAAAAAAGCATCAAAAAAATACTTGGAGGAGAAAAAGAGAAAAATATCAGCAGATATGCATCTGTCATGAGTACAACTAATTCCTTCTGCAACAGTGCATCAGAATATACAGGCATGATGGAAGTGATAGCTGTCATGTTTCCCAACCTTATTAATACTTTCATCAGGTCTTGTACAACAGTTCCACAAGGACGCTAGGAATAAAGGAGCTAGAAAAGGAAATGCTGCAACAGAAGCACAAAGCTCATACAGTAGATAGGTGAGAACAGTTATCATTGGTACACAGTCTAATTGGAAGATGTCTCACACAGAGGTACCCAAAAGCCTGCATTGGATCCATTTCTGTTCAACACCTTCATTAATGATCTGGATGATGAAATGTTGAACAGCATTATAAAACGTATGTGTAACTATCAAGAAGGGAGGTACAGCAAATGTACTGAAGGACAAGAACTGAATTCAAAATGAGTTTCAGGAATTGGAGAGTCTTAAAAATAACATGGAGTTCAGCAGGGAAAAAATGTAATGCATTTAAGCAAAATGAATTAACTGCCCAAATTATTTTCAGTAGGGGGTTATACTGGATGCCCAGCAGAACAGGAGCTAATACTGTCATACTGCTTTCTATCCTCAAAATGCCATCATCTCAGTGTAGTGCATAAACAGGTACAGAATCTATGCAGAACAAGTGATATTTCTCTTCCTGGGGCTTCAGTTGCAACACAATGGGCAGCTTCAGGTTCCATGCTTCAGGAAAGCTCATGTGGCTCAGTTCAGGCTGAAGAAGAGA